ACCCGGGAGCCATCTTGTGATGCAAGACGTACAGACGAGACCACCGGAGGAATTCTCTTCTCCTCGGGAATAAATTTTTACAGAGCCACTTGCCATTCTCCCCAGGAACTAGTGCCTAAAGTGTTCAACGATTTCTCTGCCTGGCACTACTTAAGATTACGAACGCTGATTAGTCACAAGAGAGATATTTTAGCTGTGTGCTGGATTGGAAAATCAGGGTTTGAGGCTTGTCTGCCGTAACCTTATTTGTGGGCTTTTTGAAAACGGACGTAGAGTTCCTGGGATGTTCGGTTAGATGGAAACTTTTTGGAGTGATCTAAAGAAATGATCTGAGAACTGAGCCCTCAAACTGTTGGGCACCTTAATCTCATTTGCATCAGCACCTTGAATTTTGAGTAAGACTTCTCCTGGTTCTGTAGCGATTCTCAGTCATCCAGGTCATAGTTGTCCCAAAGGTGCTTTTTCAGGAGGCAGCTGGACTGACTTCCTATTTTGCTTTGAAGACATTTCACTTCTCATCCAAGAAGCTTCTTCAGCTCTGACAGGATCCCATCCCTCCATTCCCACTATGCTGTCAGAGCTAAAGAAGCTTCTTGGATGATGTTGTGGCCCGCCAGTGGCCAGTGGAACTGGTGGCAGACCCAGACAGTGAGGAGGTTGCGGGGGGGACATGGGCCAGTCCTGGATTCTGGGGAAGGCTCTGATGAGGGCTCTGCGTCGGAGGCAGAGAAGGGGCCAGGGCCATATGACAATTGTCAGCTGCCTTTGGAGTCGGACATCAGTGAGGCAGAAGAACAGCTGGAGCCTGTTCCCAGTGTGTGCATGCACAGAGTTGCCAGGAGAAGGGAACAAGCCACAGGTGGATGGTGAATGGCCCCTCCCATAGGGAATAAAGAGGAGCGAAAGGGGAGGGGAGTTTGCAGGAGGCAATTAGTTCAATTCATCAAAGTGAAGATCTGTTCCTGACTTCTTGCCAAGCATTGTCTGCTACAGAGTGGCGTTTGGAAGATATCGGCCTGGCAACTCTCCAAGCCTGATAAAAGTCTGTAGTTGTGAAATCTCCTGAAAGACTGTTGGCCGGGACTTTGCTGTAGAGGAATTCCCTTTAAACTAAATAAAAGCGGTTTTATCGTGACGAAGTGTCGGCTTCGTGTTTTTAGAAAGCCTAGGACAGAACAGATGAGAAGCGAAACGTCTTCAAAAGAAAAAAACAAGGAAGTCCAGTTGCCTCCTGAAAAAGCATCTTTGGGATTTCCGCTTTTTGCTGCATGCATCATTCCAGTAATAGAGGTAGTCCTCAACTTACAACCACTTGCTTAGTGACTGTGCGAAGTTACAGTGGTGGAGGAAAAAAGTGACTTACAATCAGTCCTTGCACTTCTCACTGAGGTATTGTCCCGGGGTCATGTTATTCCCAAATAGTACCTTTACAAAGGATTTCCAACAAGCAGAGTTGATGGGGGAGGCCGGATCCATTTAACGACCATGGTGATTCACTTAACAACCACAGTGATTCACTTAAGGATCACAGCAAAAACGTCCTAAAAGTGGGCACAACTGATTCAATGACCACGTTGCTTAATGATGGAATTTCTGCTCCCCATTGTGGTTGTAAGATTACCTATAGATTGGTTACTATGAACCTCTCCTGTGTACCCCTATATCTAAAATACGGATTCTGAAGAAAAAAAATGCATGGAATTTTTATCTTCGTAATCCATAAATTATGGGGATAGCGGCTAGAGGATTTCTCTCAGGAGTTAAGTGACAGTTTTCCTGAAGGTGTTAAAACAATGAAATCTTGCTGGAGACAGGAGATTTAGACTAAGGGGTTTCCTTGGCAGCCGATATTAAAATAAAATTTGCAAGCACGAACCAGATAAGGACAGCTGTGTGTCAAGTCAGAAAACCACTCTGTGCAAAGAGATTGTTTCCTCAAGAGGCTTTTGACAAACATGCAAACAGAATTGAGTCCATCAATCTCAGGACGCACCAGATGACAAATTGCGGTCTTGTCTTAATGAAAACAGTGGTGGGAATGTGCTACTTCTTGTTATTCCAGCAAACATTGTGGACTGAACTTCTAAAATGGGGCAGACCTGTTAGAGGTTGAAGCACCTTTTTGGTTGCAAGTGAAAAATCTTGGAAGCAGAAATGTGACCTGAACGAAAATTCATGAAACATGTTACGTAGGTTTTTTTAAAAAAAGGGGGGAACTGTTATAGGAATAGGCAAAGCCTCATATCAAAGCTACTCTATCCTGCCAGGGGGAGAATCCAACAACATGTGCTCTGTGCATAGGGGTGGTTGAAGAAAATCAGAAGGAAGCAGCCTCAGATTCGGGAAAAGATCAGAGAGATTCAGTAACAAAAAAGGAACTTTGAGAATGTACTAATAAACACTGCACCAGGGGTGTTCAATCTTTAAGACTTGTGGACTTCAACTCTCAGAATTCCCTAGCCAACCATGCTAGCTGTAGAATTCTGAGAGTTGA